AAACATTATTCATATTAAGCATTATGATATTTCTAGTGTTAAGAATCAGGCCTGTTACAGCAACGATTTCACGTTTCTCGACACATTCCGATCAAATTGATGAGTACAAAATTCCATTATCAACACAATTAGCGATAAATATGATGGGTTTACACAAGAATCCAAATTACTGGAAAGAACCCATGGAATTTAATCCTTCAAGATTTCTAGCAAATAGTAGCAACAGCAGCGAAGAAATTTATAATAAAAATGCATTCATGTATTTTGGTGGCGGGTTACGTATGTGTCCAGGTAGACAATTGGCAATAACCCAACTTAAAATGATGATTGTTTTATTATATAATAAATATAAATTTGAGGTGATTACTAAGGAACCTTCAATGCAACATAATGTTAATATTCAATGTAAAGAATTGAAAATTAGAATTAAATGCAGAAAAATAAAAGTTTATTAATTGATTTAAGAAGCGTAAACATTGTTTGTTTCGCCAAAATTTAACTATGTAACTTAAATCACATCTAGAATTTCTTTATCACTTTCAATGTCCATGATATGAATCTTATTTATTTGCTATAGCAAAAATCTTGATCCAACATAATCCAAACCTATTTTTTATTTCCTCATCCTATGATTCTTTCGACATTCATCCTCAACTTGAATTAATCAACAGTCTATGTTCTGCTTGAAGTTTCCATATTCTAATGTATCAAAAGACTAGAATTTTTTTTAAAATTGAAAACATAAATAAATAGAAATCTTACTACAAGCTGGTTTGGATGGCATGTTTGCTCAATAGTGAAATTTGAGGAGTTACAATACTTGTGATGGTGAGTACGATCTCTCTTTAATAGGTAAAAGATGTGGCTTTCAGAACAATTTGATGTTTCCTTCAGATTTGTTCCAAATAGTTTCTGGTTTATTTCAGTCATGTACTGGAGATGAGAGAAACTGATCTATTTAGTAATCTGATCTTTGAAATTTGTTATTTAGAACGTACCACTTCACAAATCTTTCCATTGGATACTACATAGATAAACTTGATGAGTCGGACACAAATGGCTGGACATGGCGTCCGACTTATCAAGAGATCCGACTTATCCAAAATATGCAATTTTACAAAAAAAAAAATAAGAAAATCATGTTTAAATCATTTATTTATTTATAATAATAATTGAAAAAATAATTCTCTAAAGAATTATTTTGTATTCTATTAATTTTCCATTTTAAATCTTTTAATCCTGAAACAAATGAACTATTTACGTGTATATCATTATTCTGTTGCAAGTAATTATATAGATTTTGAATGCTTTTCTAAAGCGTTTTTATTAGGTATTGATGAGCCAATATCTTCTTCTTCTTCTTCTTCTCCTTCTTCGGATGCTTATTGAACTGTTGCAATAATTTCGTCATCATCAAGCATTTCAGTTCCTAAATCAGAATCAATCTCAATGTAACTTCTTGCTGTAATAATATTACCATCATTATTAACATTGATCTGATCAATAAGTAATTGTACTTCATCTATTTCAGGATTAAATTCCATAGCAATAGGTCGGTCAACTTCATTATCAGGTAGAATACCTGTTTTTTTTCCCAACATCTATCATGAATAATGACGAATTTTATTATTATTGGATCATGCATTACTAAAAATAGTAAAGATTATCTCTCAATATTTACGAAAATCACGTGAACCGATTTATCGAGAGTAATTTATTATTATCTGGCTGGAAGAGTTGTCCGACTTACAGCTTAACAAGAGTTTATATATGTGTCCGGCTTATCAAGAAATTTTTAAATATAAAAAAAAGGGCTGGAAATTTTTGTCCGAGTTAGGCCAAATCCGACTTATCGTGTATTTTGCAATAAAAGCTATTTGTTTGTTTATTTATTGTTGTTTTTGATTTTAGTATTAATGCACGGTTTCTATTCATAATACATTTTAATCGTTTTAATCGTTTTAATCGTTTTATTTATTTTTGTCTTATTCGCTTTATACGTTTTATTCGCTTTATACGTTTTATACGTTTTATTCGTTTTACTCGTTTTACTCATTTTACTCAAATTGTTTGTTTTATTCGAGTAAACTTTATTTGAATAGAAACCTAACTACTCTTCAAGATTATGATATTATTTTAGCACAAAGAGCTTTAGAAATATTTAACCAATAATTTAATCACAATATAAAAGAGTTATTGGTTTATTAAATTAAGCCAATAATTAACTAAAAAATAGGATTAATATCTGATAAATATCGATACTTTCAACATTTACTAATAGGCTTTTAGATTATATGATAAAAATACTAAGAATATTAATAACTTATCAGTATGGATTATTTTTTTAAAGAATAATCAGATTCTGATATTTGCTGAATACCCCATTCTCCAATTTGGGATATTTGACCAGTAAAAAGAGAACTAATAGATTATAAATAGGCAAAGAAAGATGGGACCCTAAATTTGCACAGAAGAATTTTAAATCATGCACAAACATAATAGCTTGATTGACATAGTGGTGCAGTCTTTGAAATTTTTTTATTGTGTATTTTAAATATAATTAATCATATATCTTTAATAAAACAAACATGACTTAGCTATTTAATCATTTCCATTGTATGTGAATGCCTCCATCCATCAAATATTCATGATGGTCATGATTATTATTCAATACATTTGAATCCTCGAAATAATATGTCACACAAATGGCAATTAATTTTATTACCATATTTGGTAGAGGAATTCATTTTTTTCGTTTAATTAAAGTTACTTGGCAATCGGGATTTTTTGTTAAAGAATTATACATATATTATTATTGTTATCATTATTATTTTTATTAAGGAATGTGGATATTATATTGTTATGTTATATTGTGGGGAATATAATCATATTATTATTATATTTATATTACTTATAATCAAAGAAGTTATCTTTAAATTATGACCATACTTTCCGGGAAGTCTATAAGCTTCCATACAATATATAGATTATATATTTATTTATTTTCTTATGATTTATATTTATATTTTAAAAATTGTATTTTTATTATTTAAAGAAGTAAAATTCAAACAAATAAAGATAACTTTTATATAATTTTATAACAATAAAATTATCAGTTCATTAACATTGTTAAATAAATATTTGAACGGTTTTAAATAGTTATGATAATTATTTGAACGTTTACAATCATTGACATAACAAACAATTGCATCACCAAGTAATAATAATACCAAGGCTGTGCATAAACAAAACTTTTAATAATGCGTGTCTACTCAGATCTCCGGGATTCACAAAAATAAATTATTTTTCCTGATTATCAATTATGGTTCCTTACGAACAATAAATCTGATGTTGATTGCAGTGTCAGATTTAATAAAATTTTCCTATCACAAACAAGCAAACGTGCAATTAAGATTATGCACCAATCAGCACTATGTAATTTTTTCCCACAGTTGAAAGTGGTTCGAACAAGTTGGAAGGCTTTGGACAAAACATTCCCTTATCTTCCCCTCAGACCAGGCTTGGAATTGGTCACCAGCATTTGTGTGTTGATTACTTTGTGTTATACCTCTCTATAAAATAAAGTTGGCATCTGCAACTGATTGAAATTTGCCAACTCTGAAGTTACAACCTGGGTTTTGTTTTGGTTTTTTCCTGGATTCGGAGTTTTGAGTTCTGGGTTGCTGTCTGGTTAGTAGCATGCCTGCTCCCCAAAAACCCTACTCAATTAAATAACAAGTTCAGTTGATCAAACAAAAATTAAAGAGAAACAGAAAATTTATGAAAATGATTAATTTATAACATATCAAACAAAATCTGAACCATTTTATAACTTTTTTCTTGTTGGCCATATTGCTGACAAAGATATATATAATCATGCAATAATTTTAATCTATAGTCCCCTACTCAAATTATAAATTGGTTAGTATCAGAAAAACAGAGCATTTATGAAAATGATTATACAAAACAATCACTATTTTACAACTTTCCTCTTAACATCAGAACCCAATACAATTTCAGGGCCACAAACCCTGCTCTTAATGCAACCTTCTACACTTGAAACAAGTTGCAGATTCTCTTGATATTCCTCCAGGGTTGTGACTTGGTCATAGAGCTATCCTTACCTAGAGGTGGGATCGTTGCAGGTAGCTTTTCAGCTAGCATGCCAGCGGCCATCTCTGATCTGGGAAGATTAGTGAAAACATCCTTGACGATTGATGCAGTCTCTCGATAAACTCCAGAGCCCCCCGGGTTTCACCATCCCTTGAAACTATTTTTAGCAGATGGTTTAGCAATCATATCATCGGGAGAAACGTGGTCAGATTAGCCTTATGTACATGAGGAATATGTGTGAATGACTGTAAGTGTTCAAGGTAGCGTGCGTGCTTCAACATCTGCCAATTCCGATAATCAAACGTCGCATATCGAAATGTCTCTTTTTCAACAGTGTGCTGCCTTGGCATCTTGTAATTATAATATTATAGTTATATATTAATAATGATTACGAAAAGAAAAATACCAATTGTTTGTTTTAGATAAGGATCTTATAATTATCCCAGCAAGATCTGCTCCACGTTTTGATTCCAATTAAAATATTTATATAAAATAAAAGACACCACATTATAACAATACAAATAAAAAATAGTACCTATGATTAGTTATTAGCACGTCTTCTTTGGGAGATTCGCGTTTTGTCATCTTGGTCTCTGTCAAAAAATAAATCGTTTTCCAAGAAAGAAAAAAAAAAATCAATTCGTGTCTGTCTGTCCTCCCAAAAAAAAAAAAAACCAATAGGATAAATTAATTAATGTGTACATGTCGATCAAATAACGAACTTCTTTTTTTCCTTAAAATTTAATAAAAAAAAAAAAAAATGAAAAAAGAAAATTCAAAAAAAAGAAGCAATAATGAGAAGGCAAGGAATTACGGGTAAGTGTTTTAAGGATGGTGGTTGTGGTTATTGCCACTCGTCGTTTCTCTACAGTATTTTTAATTTTCTGATGTACAATATATACATATTTTATTTTTTTAGGGTTGAAAAGGTTCGTTAAACACGCTTGTTTATGTGACTGATGTATTGTTATTTAAGTCTAAGACTTTTTCACATTTTACCAGGTCTCCAATGACATTGAATTAACTGAAGCAACAACATTTTCTGATGAATCTACCTCAACTATTACTACTGATGAGTCTTGTGAGGAAGGTGAAATTAGCAGTGTAGATGAGATTGTTTTTAATCATAATGATAACAACAATATTAACAACCCGGCAGAAATTAAATGGTCATTTGATGTAAACTTGAATAACAATCAAGTAAAAGAGAAAATTCCTGTGGAGAAACCTTTGATGTCATATAGTTTCGATCTGGGAACTAATACCGTTAATGATAATTCATACAAGTCAACAGAAAAAATTCCTGTGGAGAAGCCTTTAATGCCATATAGTTTTGATCTGGGAGTTAATGCCGTTAATGATAATTCATACAAGTCAACAGAAAAAATTCCTGTGGAGAAACCTTTAATGCCATATAGTTTTGATCTGGGAATTGACACTGTTAATAATAATTCACACAAAACAAAGGAGAAAATTCCTGTGGAGAAATCATTAATGACATATAGTTTTGATCTGGTGGGAGTTGGTGACAATTCAACAATAACAACGCCAAGTATTTCAGTAAATAAAAAAGGACAAAAACGGCAAAAGGAATGTGATAAATTTAGCTTAAAACCTCTACCACCCATCATTAAGAATCTTGGAAATAAAAGCAGTGAAATTAATAATAATAATAATAATATTGCAATTGGTGACAATAGCAGTAGTAGTAGCGAAATAAATCAAAGTTTACTAAATAATAATAATTTTAATACACAATATCTAAAAGAAATATCCAGTTGTTTAGGAGGTCCTATTCACAATTTACTTGCTTCAACTATTATTTTTAAAAACAACCCTCAAATGTCACTCGCTGAATTAGTTCGTAAATGTGATACATTAACTTTACCCAGATTAATGAATAAAACAAATTTAGAAGATTATAGGGAGGAAATCACTAAAAAATTTTTCAATGATGGTTATGATGATTTAGAGAAATCTTTGGAACCTTGGATTCTTGATTTGTAAAAAAAACCATTATTCAGGTATTTTTATTACAATGATAAAGTTTTTTTCAATAAGATAAATTGATTTCTATCTGCCATTAATTAATCTTGTGCAAGACTAATAAATTATTTGATATACTTTTTTTTTAATTTAATTATTTCAAAAGTTAAGCTTTTTTGTGATGAACAACTGGGGCTTTGGGACTTTGATAATAATTGCAGAAATAATAAAAAAAATTTTAATTTTATAATAGTAGATACTAAAAGTTTGTTTTTCTCTGATCATGTGGAAGCAGTACAACCATATTACTTTTCTGCTTGCCTCAAATTTGATCATATAATGCAAAAATATTGTAACATGAAAATTATTATTGCAGTTCTGAGCATAACTCTCAAATTAAAAAATCCATAAAAAAAAAATTGAGACAAATTTTTTAAAACTGAATTGAATGGTGGTGGGTGGTTTTTTAAAATCCAACTTATGAATGAACAAAAATTTAATGTGTAAATATAATATACACAAGAGCTTATTCTTCTAACTCAATTATTACAATTAGCTAAGAAGATGCCTGGAGGAGAAGAGTTGATCATTGCAGACAGAAGGGTTAAAATTAGAAAGAATGGGGAAGAACAATTTTTAGAAGAAACATCACCTAAACCACCAACCGAAATTGATGAATATTTAGATGAGTTCAGAATAATAAAAACTGATGAAAAAGTCTTACCCAACATAAATGGAGATGAAGATAATCAATTAACAACTATATTGGGTAAATTAAAGGTTATAAGAAATAGTAATGCCTTTGAGTATTATTATCTTTTGGGAAAACTCATCGAAGAATATCCTGCGACTATGAAGAAGAAAATTCATCAAAAATGTCAACACAACTACAATAAAAGTGGAAAAATCGTCAGAATGGCAAAGAGGACTGTTATGTTGTTCAACACAATTGGATTATCTTATTTACCCCCACAAAGATTGCGTCTTAGCACCCTTCGGGAAATGATGGATGGAAATTTTGAGAGATTGATGATAGGAATAAGGGCAATTGTGGCTGAACGATTACAAACCTCATTGCTCTGGAATGATATATTGGACAACTTGACTTTTCCTGTTTCGCAGGAGCTCAATGCTGGCGCGGAGGTGATGTCACCGGAATGCGAATTGGACCTTAATTCGCTGATCAATAACCCTGAAAATCCGGAGTAATATTTTATATCTTATTTTTATATTATTTATTTATTTATTTATTATTTTTAGTTATTCATTATTCTGTTTAAAATATTTCTTTTTCGCCGAGAAACATGACTAGCTTGACTTCAAATGAACAATCACAGCCATTGTTGGACTTACTTCAAAAGTGATAAAATCGGTCAAGTATAACCAGTACTAGTAAAAACATTTTCAGTCTTAAATGAAGCTGATAGAGAATATGGTACTGTTTTTTTGCTGACGATGGCTCTACTGAAAATCAAATAAATTACAATTTGAAATGTGAAACAATTCATCCTTCAAAATTAAATAAATATTTTATTTTAATCCAAACTTGGTAATAATTGTCTTGACTAAACCTGACTTGAAATATGACTAAATGGTTTAGTCAGTTTAGCCAAGTGCCTATTTGGGTTACGCGACCAGCCCCGATTTTTACTTGCTTTTCCGCTTATCCCTATTTTAGAATTCATTCATTCGTAGACGGATCGTTAATTAAAGAACTATATCTCAAAGCTTTCTATAGCCCGAGTAACAATAATAATAATAATAATAAAAAGCATGAAACAAAAAAGTGACCATTGACTAAAATTTTGACGCCTAGTAAACAAATTTTGAGGAATCTACAGAAATCATATTTGTCAAAAAACTAAAAAGGTATTTGTTGAGGTCATTCTTTACTTATCCTTATTCTTTATTCTATCAAAGTGTTTCAAATGACGATAATCACAATACTAATGAAACACAAAAACATGAATATATTCTGTCTTCATCAAAATCCGATACTTTCACAAAAATCAAAATTATCCAGTAGGTCTGGGAGAGAGACCCAAAATTAATTGAAGAATCTTTACAAGTTCTTTAATAGATTTTTGAATCATAATCCACATGCATTTAGTGTCTGATGGGGATGAGGAGGCGAAAATGGAAGTCAAAGAAAACCCGAGATGATTCATCTTTCTTGTAAAAGGTAACAGAATAAGATTTTTTCGTCAATAATGATTACAATGACAATGAAGATTAAGGTAAAGAGGATGAAGATTAATGAGGACGAAGATGAATATAATATATCTATTACAAAGGCATCTTTTTCAAAGAGTAACTTCTGATATATTAAATGGTGTCCAGTCGGATCTAAAATTTCAGCAAGAAATAATCAAAATTTATTCGGTAGACATAAATTTCATCTGGACATATAATCAGACTAGATAGATGTAGCGGAAGTTGTCCAATATTTTGAGAACAATTATGTTCACGGAAGAATTTGGCGAGAATTTAGAAATGGATCTGTAATTCATATCCCACCACTATTTCCACCAACACTCTGGTCTGTTCATGAACTCGTCAAATACGGTCACCCTAAAATGCAAATCATAGTTGAACACTTTAATTGGAAGAGAACGTGTTGGCATTTATACGATCATAGAATAAATGCATAAAAGCAACAACAAACCAATATTCAGACAGAAAGCTTTCTTTCTGGATAACATCGGCCCATCTCAACGTAAGCGTTATGTCATCCGTGAAAAATACATCTTAATAGTAATTGTGCACGTATTGAACAACTAACTGGACGTCAATGTCCTAGATATTGATTCAAGTAAAGGTCTAAAGTAGCGAGAAGATTTTTTCAATCAAAATTTATTTTGTCAGAATAACATTTTTCTCTTTCACTCAATCCATAATAAAACAAACCATTATTTATCGGTTCAATTTTAGTCTTGTCTTTTGTCAATTGATTATTATGTTAATCGAGGTTGCAGGAAATAATTTAAAATCAAAAAGATTACAATGATAAAAGTTATATATATATATATTGCCTTCCTTTAAAGAAAAATACAAAATCTGAAATTACATAATTCGTTTTTATTAAAAATAAATAATTGATTATTATCATAGTCGTTATTATGAATTAGATGTATTCTTTAAATTTCAAGATTTACAGTCCCCGGCGAAAGTAATGGCGCGTAATTTTTTATGAATAAAAAATGTACTTTATTAAAAATTTTAAAAAAATTTTTTTTTTCTTAAAGCCAAATAGTATGGCTATAACTTTTATTATGATGTTAGTACTTGGTATGAGCTCCTTCAGCATCAATGCATGCTTGAAACCGATTTTGCATGCTACCAATGCTATTAACTATGATGTTTTTTTCAATTCCCTCATAAATTTGAAAACCTTTTTTTTTTTGCTATCATTTTTTTGACATGTTTCTCAATAGGATTGAGATCTGGGCTATATGAAGGCCAGGCAAGAACATGTCTTGGAAGGTGGGTATTCATAACATCCCTAGATGTATGCTTAGGGTTGTTATCTTGCTGAAAGACCCGTTGGCCACCTACTAATGCATCAGCATTATCATAAAGTTGTTCATTTAAAATTTTATGATATAGGTGGTGGTTCAAAAACATTTTGCAAGATAAAGTAAAAAAACACTGATGATGAATGATCAGCATAGTGGACACAACATAGCGGGTATTCAATTTTAAGAAATGATCAGCATTAATTACACTACATATGTTTCATATACAAACTGACCATCATCTGACTTTAACTCGACTTTGCATCACCAAAATCAATTTTGTGGCAATAACAACAACATATTCTGATTTCTCACCTTCTATTTTATAGACTGCCAAAATA